CAATGCACATCACGCTCCGGGTGAACAAGTTCTGTCAGTGAGTCCGCCCCTCACTGAGCTTCAAGGTAAAGGACACGTGTGTAATTATGCTGGAGGAGCTTCATCATGCTAATGTTGCTTCTGGTTCTAAGCTAGGAATGGCAACTCAAAGATGGTCAAATTATTATTCTTATTAAGTGGATTATTCACCTAATTTACATTCATTTCAAAAATACAGCTTACAGGTGTTTTCATTATCAATTTAGTTTATTATTAAATATTTGTTTATTTTAAAAACTAATAAAAAGGATTAATTTCACAAATCAGATTCACAGGAAAAACATTTTTTGTTCTCCGCTCTGGACGCGTAATGTTCATGCACCGTACGATGGGCCACCGCGTATCCTAGATATGAGGTATCGCTCTCATTGCCTTGTGCATTTTCCAAATCAGGGCTCTTTTGTGACGCACCACTCAAGGCTACACAGGAGAGACTGCTCTGGGTTCCTGGTTGCAGCAGCAACGTTTGTACAATTACAAAAACAGAAAAAAAACAAGTTGCTTAAGTTTGACGTTGTGCTGGCTGATTGATTAAGACTTCGATGTTCTATAACAACAGAGCAGATGTACAGAGTGCCTGCAGGAAGCCTGCGTGTGTCTCTGCGGCTCAATGCCCAGTGAGAGTGCTCTCACTTAAAGTCTGAAATCCCATTGTAAAGGACAGTTGTATGTAAAGGAAGACAGACCTGATTCCCAGTACGTGGTTAATGTCCCATCAAGTCGGCGTCACCGGGCCACTCGTCCCTCCAGAGAGCGGCACTCCGTCCTGTCGGTGCACAGCGGCCCTGAGACGGTTTGTTTGCGATGTCCGTCCCAGCTGGACGGGAGGGGCTGGGGTCAGCTGGAGGACAGCCCGTCTCCTGCCTGCTCTTCCCAGATCAGAGACTCCAAGGAAGTGAATCATACGGAGCACAGCCCGGTTTGCCGTTAGACTTCCGGGACAGCGAGGCACTCTGATTATCAAAGTGGATTTTTAGCTGTAAGTTTGTTCTTCAGGCGAACGGTACGGTGTGTTCCCGTATCAAGTTAACGTACAAGCCGCCAGATGGGACTTATGCACTGGTTTTAATTATTTTTCAACTTTTAGCTTGATACAATTTCCAGGCCTCCGTGGTGGCAACATCCTCGGATGCAGCCGTTATGATTACATTAGTTATGTAGTAGTAATACTGCGGTCATTTCTTCAAAGTTCTAACCGGATACGGGATGAACTGATAAGATGTTGGTGGTAAAAGGTCTGAGTCACTGCAACCTTTTTTAGCCTAAAAAATAAAATGTGCAATAGTACAGAATGATGAGCTGATGACAGACAGAAGCTTGGAAGTGGGGGGGAGACGCCCAGCAAGGGGGCAGTAATCCACCCTGCTCATGGGCCTGTGGAGACCTTGACCCGGCCGCTGCGGTTCATCTATCCCATTCGGAAAAGGGGAGTAGGCCAAAGGAGCCCGCTGGAGTCGGGTCGGCGCGAGGACAGCGACTTGCCCACAGCCATGTACGAAAACAGAGAGAGCGAGACGATGACAGCTGAGTCCGATCCGCCATTGAAGGTCACGCTGAAGTCCGACCTCCAGTTTGAGACCAGTACAACGACGTTAAAGAGAGGGAAAAACACAAGTTGAATTTATTTTATCATTTTATTTTCAACATTTTTCCAAGTAGCCACAGAGAAAACAAATACGTGCTATAAATACCAAACTGTCAACATTTGTACTGCTCACAACCTGCTGTCATTTATTGAAGGTCATTTCACAGGCTCTTTTGGGGCCAAACTTTAGATGAGACATGACGTATAAAAAAAAGTGTGGATTTTACTTCCAAACTGGTTAAAATGTATTGCAGCATCTCTGCTGAAATGCTGCAGCAGTAGAGAGAGTATTTGAGACAGTGGGAATGTCATAGTGACATTCGCTGACCCCTGCACCACCTCGTGTACTGATCCTGAATCAGCTGCCTGTCCTCACAGCGCTTCCAAAACCTGTCCATGCAAGCCTGTGTGTGAGTGCGTTCATCGGGGCCTATATTTATCTATCTCAGGGTCTGACTATCTGTCTGCCCCGATGAAGGGAGCGCTTGTATGCGTTCTATGTGGCTGCATGTGCATTTGTCTACATTAGTGCAGCTACAGCAGTGTGTGTGTGTGTGTGGTAAAGTTCATCTGTCAGACTGATAGCTGCTCCAGTCTGTCTCACCACACTCTGTCCTCATGCTGAGGTCAGCAGCCCCCCTCCCCCACCCAGCAGCAGCTCTTACATAATGATGACATTTTGTTTCCACACTAAACACATTCAACTAGTAGCTAGGGATTCGGCCCATTTCCTACTTAGATAATAGTGGTCATCTCAGGTCAGCGGGTTCGATCATCAAAAGCATTTAAAGCCTAACAATCTGACACAAGCAATGTTTTGGCTTCTATTTTGACTACCAAAGTAACGCAAAAGAGAAAACAAATCTTATCCTAAAACATGCAAATAGGCCGAGAGCTGCATCCATGGACTTATGGCCAGCTAGTCAAATGTGACCATTGCAAAGGTAATGGGGCCGTCGCCTTTTCAGATAGTCAAAGTTGTATCCACATACGGTTCTTTGTGTGGTATAGAGTCATATCACACTGTTGCAAAGCCACTTTTGCTACCACTGCGTCTGAAAACCTGCATTTTCTCCACTGACCAATAGAGGCGTAGTGTGATTGACAGGTCGCTGCCTCTACCGGAGCCGTATACAGTGACTCTACGTTCAAAACATGGTGACTTCTTTTCATTGGTTGCAAATACAAATATTTAACAGTCAACTATAGACTATTTGAAGGCAAAAGTCTAGCTTTCTATATAACATTTGAGCTAAAACAGGTAGACTGAACAGAGTAGGTCTCTTAATCTCCCAATGACTGGAGTCACTTCAAACATTGCGTAGTGGCTTTGAGACATTATACATGGCATCTACATCGGTGTATATTAACATGTATTCATGATAACCAAGAACTCCAGGGAGTTCAGTAGGTCAGAGTTCAGTAAAGAAGTGGGGTGGATGTCTACAAACAACAATCTGGTTATGGATTTCTCCATTAACCCTTGTTTTCACTACCAAACACACTTTTACTAACCTAAGAGATCATTGAAAATAGGACAAACTTTGGGTACCTAAAGTTTCCTACCAACAGTTAAATACCTCAAAGCAGTCATGTCTGGACGGTCTATATCAAAGAACACGTGATCCAGCAATCCAATCACATTTGGCTCTTTCTTTCATCAATGTGGAGTCTTGAGAATCGCCTGCGCCCGCTCCCGAGTATCGCCCCCCACAACTACTTGTTTAAAGACAACCCAGTCTCACAGCAAAACGTGTAATAGCTACGTTGGACCAACCTGGTATTCTCACGCTTTCTCCCCAAAATCGAGACAATACTACATTTTATTTCCGCCCATTCATTTACATTGCCTTGCAACTACGTCACTAGAAACTAATAAACGGAAGGTCTTCTACATTGTCTGGTAGAAGATTATGAAAATATAACGCATACTTCTCATTAGTTTACCTATTTTCTCATCAGTCCGCCATTTTCTTTTTTTTTAGCTGAGGGAAAATTGACAGTCACGTGACCTAGTTGCAAATAAAACGTACTTTTGTCACGCTTTCTCCCCAAAAGCATGAGAATACCACGTTGGTTCAACGTAGCTATTACACGTTTTGCTGTGAGACTGGGTTGTTAAAGACTAGATTTTTCTCCAAAGCCATTAAGAGCGGACACATTCTGTTTAAAGAGTCAAGCGCTAAATGTTTAAGACGGAGGGTAATTTCAGGTACATTTGAATGGACAGTATGAGAAGAATGTGTTTATTGAACATTAATGAGAAACCCAGAACACGATCTGTACCCTTTGAAAGCGGTATTACTGTCTTTTCTTTGATGGCTCATTAATGTAACCCCTTGTCAGCCACAATGAAAGTAAGGTCAGAAAATACAAACAGAGATTCAAGCTTTCTTCTGCCCTCGGAGAGTTGCCCAGTCTGGTTTCAGCACCTTGGACAGCGAGCATGTTTCCAGTGCCTTTGTCCGCCGCGACCTCCCCCGTGTCCCGCTTTCTTCCCAAAAATGTGTCTCTGAGGCAGACAGAGACACAGAGACAATCGGTGACCCTGCCAGCGGCGTGTTTCCTGCGTCCCCGCCGAGACGCACAGGCAGACAGTCCCCACCGCGGCCCGCCGTGTGTGTCTTAGAAGGGGAAGCGTTGGTGACTTTGGGTGGCGTCCTGTCCGCTTCCCTCACTGTCACCCTCTGTGAGCGCTGCTGGGAGAGGGTTGCCGTCGGTGCCTCCCTCTTCCGCTCCTTGACTGCCCCCCCTCCCTCCCTCCCGGGTACTATCACTTCCTTTTCATTTCTCCTCCTTCTGAGAGTGTAAAACGTCTCTTCTGCCTTTTCCTCGCCCATCCTTCAAATCTTTACCTTTCTACTCTGCAACTGCCGCATCAGATCTGCGGTCTGTTCAGGCCTCCCCGAGAGTGTGTTCGCTTGCTTCAGCGAGAAGGAGCGGGGCTGCGGGCGAGGAGTGCGAGGGGAGGTGCCACCCGGCGGGGCCCAGGACCTGAACCAGACAGACAGTGAAACGTCACACAGCAACCCACAGTCCCCGACTGTGCTCGCATTCTTCTTGGTGTGCGCGTGTGACTGGGGGTCCACAGTCGTAGCTGCTCAGAGCCAGCTGAGGCAGCGGTGGGGACAGACAGAGACAAAGCAGCACACAGAGAACGCCACCGGATGCTGTCGAGTTGGGTGAAATTTGGATTTCTGGATTGAGAGAGGAAACCAGAAGAAGAGAGCTGACGTGTGTGAGTCGTGCTTTGGAGTGCGCGTGTATTGGCGTTCGGGATTCCCGCGGCCTGGTGTCCTTCAAGTCACAATAGTACAGCGAACGCGTCATCGGACAAGAAGGCGGCGCGTTCTGACAATCTGTGTTGTCCCTGCAGGTTGCAAGTTGACCGCAGGGGGACCGACGCCGCGCCCAGAGCCACAGGGAGAAGTGTGGCCACGATCACTGGACCAGGACGAGACCTCGGCTACAGACTTCCTATCAGGTACCAAGGTCGCGAGTCCACAGAGACATGGACAAGAGGAATGTTCCATAGAGCTCTTGCTTCCATGGTTTGGGATCATCTAAGGAGGGTAAAGTCACACGATTGGACCGATTCTACAGTCCAGTGACATGTGTTTTCACTTGGGCTTCAGACTTGATCACCTTGAAGTATGGATGTGTTCAGGAGCAGAAAGTAAAGGAGCATTTGTCTTGTTTTCAACCTACTACGTACTTCAGAGAAAATATTTGAGACTTGCAAACGCAATAACTAATAATCACAACTCTTTGATATAGTTATTCTCAAAGGGTCTGATGATCAAAATAATGAATAATTCTTGCTCCCTCCTTGTTTCCTACCTCGCCCGCTCTAAATAATGTATACCCTCATGCACTTTGGACGACTGTGGGTGAGTCGGGAGCACGGTCGTCCTCCAATCAGAGGGTTGTCGGTTCGATCCCTGGCCCGGCTAACCAGCATGTCGATGTGTCATTGGGCAAGACACTTAACCCAACATTGCTCCTGTAGCTGCGACTAGAGTGTGTGAATGTTAGTGACTGATGTGCAGGTGTCACTGTGTGTGGTTCTCCTGTCATCAGTGTGTGAATGGGTGAATGATGTCATGTAGTGTTAAAGCGCTTTGAGTGGTCAGAAGACTAGAAAAGTACTTACCATATACCTCTCACTCTATCTTCCTCCTGTTTTTCTTTCTTCTTCCCCCCCCCATTTGTCATCTTTTCCCTCCTCCCTCCTGCCTCCTGCCAGCCTCCATGGCGGGTTATTCAGATCCTGTTGGCTCTCCGACTGATCCTGGCCATATGATGGATACTGGAGCTTTTTCAGGTGTGCAACCAGGTAACTGTTATGATAAGATACTCTCATTCACATGGGCCTTTTCTGACATGTAGGTGCTTTATAAGCCTGAGCTCAAAATGTTTACATTGACCTCAATGAAACGCGTAGCAAGAACATAGTATATATATATAATATATATATATATATATATATATATATATATATATATATATATATATATATAATTTTTTTTACCAGCACCCAGCAGTTCATTTTATGGGAACTATGTTGTTTTTCCCTCTTTAATCTATGTTAAGAAAATAGGTCAATCATTTTTGAAACACAATGTCCCCTTCAATCACAGAGGATTGTTAAAACAAACATAATGGTATCACACAACCCAAATCTCGTCACTCCTGGGATCGCCTCTCTCATTAAAAAACTGTCACTCTCCGGTCCAGCCACCGGCCCGGAGTCTGAGGAATCGCTCGGGGTGACGCACAGCTTGTTAGCCGGGCGCAGAGCTGTAGCTGCTGCTAGCTTGGTGCCCACACACAGAGACACAGCATGAGGCTGAGCTGTGCCTTTCCCCGTGCCAACCTCTGCATACCCGCCTCTCACTGTTGGCCTAATGAGACCTGTCGTCTCTGAATTACTGCTCCCGGCATGAACACAAACGCACTTCCTTGGCCCTCTGTCTCCCTCACAAACACACACACAGACACTCGCATTGTAATACACATAATGTTGACACTTCTAGGAATTCTTACAAAATAACCCATTTCAGTGACGTGCGCTGATGTCAATAAGAGGGCAGGCACTGTCCTGATTTGTTGTTATCAATTCAATATTAAAGCGCAAAATACTTTGACTCACCAATCGGTAGATTATTTGTACATGAAATCCATTCGCCGCTCTTTTCTCGTGAAAACGTCAATCACAGCGTTGTAAAACTTGTCTCAGATCTGTGATATCAGCGGACACCGCCGTCATTTTGACTTTGAATGTCGCTCCATTTGAATTTTCCGGGGATTCGTAGCTGGTGCAGTGACGTCAGCTGCGCAATTGTCCAGTAATATCTCGATTTTAATTGATCCATATTTAATACGTAACATATTTCTGACATATTTACGTGCAAAGGCACAGCAGTGCATTTTTCCGTACATATTGAAGATTACAGGATCGAAGTGCGCATGCGCAACATACATGGGTTTTTCGCTCGTCGTCCGCAATGAACGGACAGTAAAAGCACTGCTTATTCTACCATTTCTTTTCTATTGTATTGCCCACCCTGACTGCACGTCACTGCTCACCACACCTTCATCCACATGCATGGTCACGCACACGCATTCCTAGTCCCACTCTCAATCCCTTTCACATACACACGCACACGCAGACCGAGTACTCCTCAGGAGCTGTGGACATGGTTGTGTGCAGTGTGTGCGTGTTTTAGTTGAATGGGTCAAATACGAGACTGTCACCCAGGAGCCCTACGTTAACATAAAACACTTCTGGGTAATGCTGCGCAGACCTAGATGTAATAGAGAAGAAAGATGCCACACACCCAATCGGCCCTAGCAGTTAACACTTTTATGTGGAATATGATTTTGGCTCAGAAATGTCAATATTCATCTTGCAGGAATGTGCAATGCCAATGTTCTACTCTGTTGGTTTCATCTCAGACCTTTTTCGTCTTTGGCTTTCTTTCTTTGCTTTGTCATGTTGCCTCTTCCTCCTCTTCTTTTTCTTCATCAGTGTGGAGTAGATCAATCCCTCCTTTGGTTAGTCCACTTATCGGCTGTCTTGTGATTTTCTTTGGTTGGTTAGTCGTTTTGTAGTCCTATGCTGAATGCTTAGTGACTAGCGCTTGTTTCTAGTCGGCACAAGATTCAAGAGAAGTGCTTTGTGTGATCCTTTGTAGAGAAACTCTGTTAAGTCTAAAATACTTTTACATGCCACATGTCGTTGGGCTCAGATTTATCACATGGGGAAGATTGCGCTCCACTGTCCATCTCTGCACTCCTTCTACACATCTGCGTGTCTGCTTGTGGGTTTCAGCTTTCTCTCCACCCGGTGGGATGGGGTTCACCATGGAGGTGGGTGCTGCACCCTTGTCAGCAGAGAGGATTCAGCATGTCACACCCGCAGCGGGTTCTGAAGCCCCGAAAGAGCACAGCCCCATGCTGCCTGAACCTCAGACTCCTCGCAGCCCTCTGGATCTGTCAGCAGGTAAACAACCGATGTACCAAATCACTGCTAGTGTTGTATTCCATCCACGTCTTCTGCGCTGCATCATCTCATTCGCTCCACAGAGGGCTGCAGTACACAGAGCACCTCGTCATCTACAGCTTAAACCCCGGCTCCGAGTGTGCAGTTAGAGTATTCACCATGCTGTGGCTAACGTCAGGTGATAGCACCATGCTAACAGGGACAGGCTAAGGACCCATGCAAACGGTGAAACCATTAACTTGACCCCCCTCTCCCACCGCATGTGCGGTGAAGATACTACTTCAAGTTGAACTCAGCACTACAGATATTTCAGGGATTTGTACGTTGAACAGCTGAAAGGCTTTTCATCAGGCACTAAATGAGAGGTCAGTATTGGCTCCAATACTCCCACCAGCAGGAAGCAAATAACAGCAGGGATGCTGGAATCATACAGCAGAGCAGTGATTCAGCTCAGACTGCAGCCAGCAGCGTCACCGCCTCCATGATTCATTCACACACCCTTTAATCAGTCTGTGACAGGTTGTGAAGCGTCAGAAAACGCCGACTACTGGTCGTGGTTGACCCCTCGGTGCCCCCCTGACATACACTGACAGGACAGCAGTGTAGGTGTGTGTTGTGCAGAGTCTCTTTGGTATGTGTGTCAACTACTAAGCAACACATGCTGACTCAATAACGCGGCAACCACCAACCCCTCTCTGCATATTCTGTCACTAATCTGGGTGGCACCCTGATGCAGAGCAATGAAGCAGATTTAGCTCATTTATTAAATCCATCAATATTAGGAATCCTTTACTGACCCTAAAATGTGCATCAGCAAATCCCAGCAAATCCTCGATATTTTAACTGGTCATCTGAAGAGAGGAAACACAAGGACGGACAAGTCGTCCCACAACAACTTCACAAACTTGAGTACACTCATGAAGAAGAGGCAGAGGGGATGGGGGGGTGACAGTTTCCTGGAGTCTCCTGTTTCCCCCCCAGTCTCCTGATTCCTTTTTTTTTTTTTTTTCAAACGTGGAAGAAAGGACCAGGAATTAGTAATGTACGTTGATCTGCAGGAGGAGGAATAGTGGTGTTAACAGTCCTGTGTGCAGCATGTACAGGTACAACAGGTACATATGTTTCCGTGGTTACACTGTGTAAATTACAGTAAATAAACATACAGTGGGAAAGCTGGTTGACCCTCTCCTATGCCTTATGACTCAATATTGAAGTCATTCTCTCCTATTAATATATCTTTGTGACTCCCAATTACTGCACATACAGTACAGAGAGGAGAGTTCTGTCAGGGGTTTGTTAATATGAAATCTCCTCCAGAGAGTAACTGTACTATATGGGTCCTGACGGCTGCTCCACTTTAGCTGCTCCGCTCTGTGTGTGTGTGTGTGTGTGTGTGTGTGTGTGTGTGTGTGTGTGTGTGTGTGTGTGTGTGTAAACTAGAAGCAAACTGGGCCAAAGTACTCCCTCTGCTTAAGTTCCCTCTTGTCTACTCGAGGTCCGTTTCACAAAGTCTCCATACCAAGCATCGCTGACAGGGATTGACCTCCTTTTCTCTGGGACCATTAATCAGTGTTTTTGTTTGTGCGTCTCTGTGTAGATTGCAACGCTGTACATGAACAACAGACCTGCACATGAATACGCGCTTGCACCCTCTTGCCTCTCTGAGCTCTTTAGCTGCCCAACAGTTTAAGCGTGATCATGCACACTGGTGGACCTGGGGGCCTGTGAGTCAGCCACCCAAAAGGTCCTCTCATCTATATCGTTTAATGTAATACTGCCGTATGTTTGTGTGTGTGTAAGTGTAGTGTCGTGGCCTCAAGCAGTCTTCACTCAGCCTTTAAATTCAGCCTGGGAAGAACGTATTGAGTTGTCTTTTAAATAAATAAAGCACACATGATTAAAGCGTGACGGATTCATACCTACAAAGGGTGTCTTGATTGAGGCTCCTAGAGGAGCTTTTGGACTCCCATTCTGCGTCTGATCCATTCCGTCTTCTTCTCAGCCTTCCCACCATCTCAGCAATTAACAAATAGCTACTATAGCTACAATGAATTCAAACTTTCTAAAAAAAAATATCTTTTGCAACAGAGATACAGGTATATTTTCAGTGTAAAGATCTTCTTTGTTATATTGTTGCTGCTTATGTTTGAATCAGACTAATGGAACCAATCGATGTACACAAACCCATCTCCCCCAAATTGAAACTCTCCCCTCTTCACCCACAACAAGGTGCCTTAGGCCCCTGCTGGCCAGACCAGGCTGACTGTCTACAGACAGACCTCCCTTTCAGCCCCAGCGTTTCCACTGTGATCAGTCGCCACGCCGGCTATCTTGCTGTCGGCCCTGACGTCCCGCCTGGCAGAGAGAGCACCGCCTACGCCGGGGGCGACGAAAAGGAGGGAGACTGTTCAGACCGAAAACAGAAGAAGAAGAAGAAAAGGCGACAGAAGGATGAGGGATCTTTTGAGCACCTGGAGAGCAGGGGTCACCCTGAGGTGCAAACACAGGGAGAGAACACGCCCCCAACAGAGGAGTTTTACAACAGGATTGGCCCAAGGCGGGAAAAAGGCGACGGCGGCTGGGAGGAGCAACTTGGGAAGAATGGAGGCCGGGTAAAGAAGGGTAAGAGCAGAAAGAAGCTTCCGGAGGAGTGGGGAGTGAGCGCAGAACCATTTGTCCCTTCGGCGGCAGCAACCTCTCTAATCACGGAGGCGGTGACGACGGAAATGACGCGTGCTGTTCGGGCAAACGCGGAGGCCTCGTTTGCAGACATGGACACCAGCCCGAGCTCGTGGAAAAAGGAGGCCTACCCTGAAGAAGGCCTGGTCCCTTCCCCCCTGTCTCAGGACCTATTCTCCCCCACCGTTGCTTCTGTCAACCCCCTGGTGCTGAACAGCGAGCTGAAAGCCACTGCAGCTCCGTTCACCATGCCCTCCTCCACCAACAGTGCAACACCCGGCTCCCTCCCCATGGCTCCTCCCCCTGCTGATCCATTCGACCTCCTGATGGATACTGAAAATGCAAGCTTAGGCAGCAGCAGCCAGGTGTTTTCTCCCGGTTGGGACCTGGTTGACGGCAGTACGTGTAACACAGGTTCCTTCCAAGAGTCCTGTGTGCGTGGCACGCCCGAGGGAGACCCCTCTGCCTCTCAGCCAAGCCCGGATCTATCCCTGAAAGGCAAGGTGTCCGCCTCGGCCCCAGCCCTCTCTCCCTCAGATGCTTCATTGCTCCTGAACGACCCCAACATGAGCAGCAATACCGAGCTCTTTGACTTCAGTTACGTGGTTGCTTCAGGTCAACCTTTGACCTTGGGGTTGTCCTTTGAAACTCCTAGCCCCGCCCCTCTCCGCTCCCCCAAAACCACAGCGCAGGAATTCCAACCTAAAGAGCACAAAGATGTCAAATCGGCCCAGAAACAACCCAAGAAGTCCCGTTCTTCATCTTCCTCCTCTGTGAGGAGTCCCACCTCCCCAAGTGCAAAGGATTTCCCTCCACAAGCATCCCTCAGCCCTCAGCCCCTCCTCCCCTCCAGCCCAGGATCTGGTCTCAACCCCACAGCGAAGCCCTTCTTTCCCAGCTTTGCTGATCCCTTGGAAGAACCAGCCGTGGTCCTTCCAGTTGCCCCCATCATTGAAGGTTGGTCGCAGTCAGCTCCGGGCAAAACAGAAGTTGGTTGTAAAGTAACAATAAATACACACAAACGGTTTATATTCATGCATGGCGCTTTCATCCGGCTTGAGTCTTCCAGGTAATTGCAACCTAATAGTAAATACCATTTTGGGTGGAATTGATTTCTTGGGGGTCTTGTACTCATTAGAGGTTAGATTGTTGAAACCTTGCATGGACAAATTTGTCGATAAACAATTTGGACTGTTTCTGTGACTAACGCATGGGCTCAAGTGTTGACCGATTGTGGCTGTGGATTGGCTTGACTCTAATCTGTGAGTATCTCAATTCCGAATCAGTCACTGGTGGGACGGGATGTTCTCATGATTAAGAGTGCTGCTACTAACCAATCACGTGAGAATCTTTCACACTAGACACACCTACCATATCCAAACGAACCGCCTCTTTGTCTCTTCTGTGCAGGCGATGTGTTAACAGTGTGATCACGGTCTGTTTCCTTTGCACCCAGGGATGAGCTGTCTCTGTGTCCTCACTAGTGTGTCCAATTAACAATGTTTTCCTCACTCGCTGTCTGTTTCTTAACAAGTTCTCCTAGATAAGGATGTTGAAGGAAGAGGTGTTGTTGGTGTCATGTTAACACTCCTTCTGTTGTCACGCATCCACAGCTCACATCCGGGTGTGTCTCCTAAGTAGACATAACTTCTAAAATCTATCAAATGCTAATGTTTTTTTTTATCGTTTTTACTTCCATGTTCTGTGACGACTGCTGACTTGGCTGTTTCTCCATCTTAGGTGAGTCTTATTTGAATTCCTTGTGTGTGTGTTCCTGTATTTTTTTATTTCAGTATTTGAAAGCACAGGGGACAACTGAAGAGTGTCATCTAGATGGTGTTACAAGGGCATCCTTACCTTTTTGTAGATACTGTTTTCCTCTTCATCAATCCATAAAAAGGCTTCTTGGCCCAATGGTATCAGTTGATGGAAGTTGTACTTCCACTGTTTGGCCACTATGTAAAAAGACCTTGTAAGCCCAGCCCCCCACCCCCCAGGCCAGGTAGTAACCGGAAGGAGGGACACCTTTGAATGCTACAAAAGAAGGTTGTGACACAATCCTCCCCATTTTGCCACTTAAGTTATGTTTTAGACGACATGATAAGGATGACGTTCAAGGCACTTCCGTTAAGATGAAGACCCAGGGACAAATTAAACGGGAGGAAATATCCCATCTGGCATGGGAATGCCTTTAGGATCTACAGCATAGGCCCCCAACCGGATGGATCGACTGGGGGCTGCGGTACTAAATGGCCGGTGGTCTCACCTCTGATCTACAGGACCAGCATATAGGTTTTTTTAAGTTTGCATTTTACATGGATGACAATGTATTGCATCTTTGTGGACGTAAAGTAAAAATCCTTTATCAGATGTGACATACTGTACTTGATGTTTTTTGTTTGGATTTTGGGTACGTGTGGAAGTGTTTGTGTGTGTGCGCTTGTGGGGAGTGCAGCTGGCTCTGTAATGAGACCTTTTGTCAGTGTCCAGGGGTGCCTCTCTTGTCATCAAAGGTGGTATTTAAGCCTTGTACAAAAGATAAGGAGCCATGTGGAGCACAATAAAGAGCAAGACATAGGAGGGTCCCAGACATGGGGGTACAGTATAGCGAGGAAGAGCGGGCTGGACATAATAAATCGGAGTTGGAAGTAAAGAGAGCCTTTCAGATACTTCTGATAAAACATGTCTACGTGCCACGGGGGGGAGAAAGGCAAAGAATGAAGGGTGAAGAGAGGACGATTACTGGCGCCGGATAAAGGGATTCTTAGAGTTGAAAAGAACAGATGAGGATTATTTATAAACCCTTCTTGTAATGGCAGACAAATATACAGGAGAAAGAGGGAGAAGGCTGGATAGAGAAGGGGAACGAGGCAAACATGCGGGAGGGGTTCAAGCACTAGGAAAAGATAGAGGGAGGTCTAGAGAAGCACTGGGCCTCTACAGAGAACCCAAGGGTTCCCTTGTCCACATTTGGCTATGTGTCTCCCTCTAATGTCCTCTATGGAGGCTGGATGCTTCGGAGCTCCTGACTCGCCCGATGTGTTACTACAGAAAGAGCCAGCAGGGTACTGACTGAGTTCAGCACATTCAATTTTTTTTATTCATTATTTGAGTAAATTATGAGATCTAGAACATTAGTTTCCCAGTTTTTGTCTATTGTACCCCTGTGGCTGCTCGCGACAATAACCTACACGCTTTGAAGCCTGCATGCATCACCCACACACTGCAAAGTGCATTTCAATAATGCACGGAACATCGACAATACCCTCTAGTCCAGTGGTTCTGTCGGCTTAAATGACAGGAAATAGACTCCAAGCTGTGCTATTTGACATTCCTCTGCCTCCACAACATCATAGGCATTGTAGGTCTGTCTGTCAGTCAGCGTCTGTCGCCAGGCAACCTGATGTTTTAGGAACACCAAGTCTCAAAACAAGCTTTGGTCCATAACTCTAATGCTCATTATGACAATTAAAATTTTGATGTGGTTTTTGGTAAAACTGCAACTGGACTGGCTGAAAGAGGGACAGCGCAGGTCCTCGTCATGCTGTATCAATCAGCGCTCACACCATCCTTGTTTCCAGTAGCAGCAGTCAGCTGTTTAAAGAAGAAGCTCACTAGCTCAGCACCAAACTGCAGGGAGACCAAATTAGTGGCCAGCTGGACAAATGTTTGAGGAGACCAAAACAGAGCTAAAATGAATGTATGAATGACCCAAACAGGACTAGGATTTTTTTCTTCTGCTCAATATGTAAATAGCCAAACATACAGTACACATGCGAGTCATCGTCAACTATTTGAGGACCAACCTCAAAAACCTCAAAAGGCAAGCGTGCGTAAATATAGTGTACCGGCGGGGTATTTTTACCACATAGTGCTTTTCCCTGTTGTTTGGGCTTATTTCAGTGGGGAGCAGGCTGTTAGATGGTAGCCCGCAAGGGACATTTGTACCGTTTGGTCCCATCTCTCAACCGGGGTGAGCAAATGTCCTGGGACGGCTTTGGGGGCAGGTGTTGGGTTTTTGCCTCGTTGGCGCCATTGGAAAGGACAACAGCAAACTGTGGGACAAGAACGTGAGTCACTCTGTCTTCAGAAGGTGCACCGCGCTTCAGCAACAGATTGAACTCATGGAGAGATGGCTGTCGGCAGACTGCGTGGGCTCACCCTAATATTTTCTATATTTTGATATAAACCTTTTAATAAGGCCCTTGTATTTCCCAAGATTCAGTTGAATTGTGTCTCTTCTGAATGGAGAAACTGACGTGAATGTGGAGCACATTCATGCTGCTTTTGAGAGATTTGTTGTAGCCTATGTACTGTATGTAGGCTATTTTTATATTTTTGGTACCAACCTTTTCACTATTGTTTGCCCGCAAAGAATATTAGTGACGTTCGATCAACAAAATTGACAAAATCCCAACATGTAGCTTTCATATGCTCCACACTGATCTCTACTAAAACGGGCCAATGTAGGATATCTAAACATCCCGAAAAGAAACAAACCTCAAAACCCAACCATGCCTCAATTGTACCAATAAACATCTGAATTAAACCACAAGCCAGAGACGATTTTCTTCCTAAGGCCAAAGGTCAGTGAACATTTTTCAAATGGCAAAATGTCCTCTGGGATGAGAGGCTTCTTTGGTAGACGTTTACTCAAAAAGTCAATACCACACATCTATGTCGACTATGCACATACATTTCATCTCCTTGTGCTCCTCAGAAAGTTTCCGTCCTCAAAAAGAAGATGACCTAGTTTCAAAGTGAGCGTTGGGACTTGGTGTTCTGAGCTTCGCACGTGGAGCAAGTAACAGCAGGAAACAAACTTCATGACGTCGGAGCATGTCCCCATTGGACAGATGTCTTTGTCTCTGGGGACAACAACCGACATTTCTGCTGTAGCGAGCAGATTTTCGAACCAACATTTCCACTTTCGAGCGGCGTTCATTGTTTCACAAGTAGCCACTCAGTTGTCTAGTTGACGAAATGTTAAACTGATGACCAGCCAATAGGCTCCTCCTCTTTGCTCGCCAACCAACTGTTTACCCGCATGCAACCAAAGCCAGCTCAAACGTGATTGGTCAATAGTACTCTGACTACAAGCAGAAACCACGATGGTTCTGATTCCAAAATATATTGTTTCTAAACATAATAAGGGCACACTCGAAAAGCCTCAGACGGATAATCGGAGGAGGCAGCACTGGGCACCGCTCGTCCTTCATGCCTCAGCAGCTACAAGACGGGTCCATGTAGCACCTTACTCTGATACACACATACACCCCATGTTGTAAGTCTTTAGGTGATAATAAAGCAAATATATGAATAAAACAAAAAAATAATAAGTGCGAGGGACACCGAGCGGGCAAAACATCAGGCTTGGTGCGATGCAGTAGGGTCCGAGAAAATGTCTCCAGCCGAAAATCACGCTGCGGCAGCTGGGGAGGTTTGACCCGGGGCCTTCAACCGCCGGCAGGGCGACGCGCTTCGTGGCTGCCGGAAGAGCCACCGCTAACAAGCGGCCGGCCAAAGAGGCGAACCAGCAGTCAGGAGGAACCGACCGTAGTTCAGGTTGAAAGACTGGGCGGATGGTTGTTGTTTTGGGTGAGAATTTAGCTTAGTTGTGTTGCCTCTTTTCGTCATCCTAAACCAGCAGGCAGCCGAAGGGAGGACAGCAATACCGGCTCCCAGCTTTACGTTGGGGCAATGGAGTATCAGGGGCTAAGGGATGTTCAGTGGCAATAGCCTTTTGCCGTCCGCTGTTTTCAATACGAGTGACGGCTTTGCTTGTAGTTCTACTTCTTTACTTCTTTTTACTTCTTCTTTACTTCGAGGCAGGTTCATTTGTATTGCACGTTTCAATAGAAGAGCAATTCAAAGTGCTCTGGGTAAAATCATCAAAACATAAGTTCTAAAGAAAAGGAAATTGAGGAAGTTGGCTAATCCTGGACATGGAATTAAAA